TCTCCACTGAGCTGAGCTGAGCAGACTGTGCTGGTGTGAGGAAAACCAGACACATGGCTGAAATAATAGAGAAATCCCCAAGGTTTCAGATGCTCAGCCTTGATTTGGACAGGTGGAGAGTGTTCAGTGGAAACAGAAGTGTGGTTGTTCCTTGGAGCACCTTCAGGAGATCCCAGGGGAGGGCAGGTCTCCTTTGCTGCTCTCGGTCCTGACTTCTGAGTTCTGCAGTAACAGTTCTCACCTCTCTGGGAGGAGGTTTAGGGCTGTCATTGGCACATCAGGGTAGGCTGAGCATTGCTCTCAAAGGCCTGTCTGTGTCCACATCCCTTACCTGTGTGCTCAGATGTCATCCCACCTGCCCATGGGGGAGCATCCTTGGTCTGTGAGGTACTTCCTAGACCCAGCACTTGCAGTGTTCTCCAGGGAGCAGCAGGACACTTCCAGTTCCTTTGGGAATAACTGTTGAATGTCTTCTAATTTCCCTGCTACAACTTCCATCAGCTAAACCCCACTAGTCAGTTTTAGTTTCAGAGTTAATCCTTTCTGGAGGACAGATCAAGTGGATTCTGGTCCTGGTCAGTGGAGTGTCATAATTGGCTTCTTGGACATGAGCTGGGTGGTGTCAGTTCTTGACCTACAGTGTATGTTCTCCTTGTGGCCAAAGCTTTGGCCCTTGCCCCAAGAAAGGAAAGAGAAGGAATTTCCTTTGGAGAAGTGAACTCCTCTCTCTCAGTCAGGTTTTCAGGGAGGTTGGGGGGTGTGTGTTTCTTTTTCTGTGTTTGACTGCTGTGCTACACTTTCCTGACGTACCTTGGGCACTGATAGGGCTAACTGTGATCCTGGGGAATGCACAGGAATCTCCTCCTGAGCTTCCAGCCTCTCAAGGGAGAGGTCAAAGGGGTTTGTTCCACTATTACAGTAGGCACATCTGGGCACACTCCAGCTCAAGAAGGTCATTTGGATGCAGGTCATGCATCAGCAGGTCACGCCGTGCTTTGGGAATTCTGTGGGTGGGATTGGCATCCACTGAGCCCAGATTTTAGCTTTATGGGGTTTTCATTCTTGAGCAGAGTGCAATGGTAATGAGACCTAAAAGCATGGCTGGCAAAGGAGCAGGAGGTGGAGTGTGACACTTGCTAGGACATATCTTTATCTATCTCAAGGTAGTTCTCAAGCTGAATCATCTGCTCCTGCTGTCTCTGTGGTCCTCAGATGTACTTCAGAACTGGAAGCCAGAGTGAGGGAGCATCCTGGGGATCCAGGAGCATCCTAGAGATGGTTTGGGTTGTTTTTTTCCTTCTGTTTTTGTCTTGTTTAGCTGTGTGTGACTCTTACTCCAGTGCTGATATTCCTCCTTTGTCATGCAGTGGATGATGAAGCACTCCCAGTGCGTGGATGACACTGTGGTACTGTAGGAGTTCTCCTCAGGCTGGGGCTAAGCTGATCAAGAATTAGGTTAATTCCAAACATTAAGTTCTTGCTGTCATTCACCACTGTTTGTCATGAAGGTGGAACCAGTGTGAGGAGGCAGTGGTTTAGGTGGTGACATGTTGTGAAACACTGAGAACATTTTCATTTCTATCTGTTTCTTTTTTTTAACTAGAAGAAAACTAGTTTGCTGAGTCTTTGCTTTGGATAAGCCAGAGAGTGAACTGAGTGGATGTAGGCATTGCATGGAATCATAATTGAGGGATCTTCCTTTAAAAGCAGGAGGAGACAGATGCTTATTTTATAGGGAGCTGGAGGTGTTACAGCTGTGTTGCAGAAATGTTATTCTTCCATCTGAAAACTCCAAGCAGCTTCTGCTGACTTGTTGTCTGTGTGGATAACAGATCATCAGAAGAGCCAAACTCTCTTTTTAAGCATCTTTTTAAGCATAAGTCTCTTAAAGCTGCATCATCTGTGACAAAATAGGTCCTTGTTGTGTGGAGTTCAAATGGGCATTACTGATTTCAGGTCTGACCTAAAGGCAAACAAGTCAAGTTTTTCTCCAGTTACTGAAACCTGTTCTGAGACATCAGTTTCCCTACTTTGAAAAGATAACAAAGCAAAAAAACCCAAATGATGTGGATTTCTATTCACTCTAAACTAGCCCAACATGTTAGAAATTTCTGTTTTGGAACAGGACAAGAAGGGAAAGATGTGCTAAGCTGCTTCTCCTGACACTTACCAGCCCATGCTTGGTCACCTGCTGTGTGTACAGTCCCAGAGTCAAACAGCTCTTGGGACTCAGCCTCTGCAGAAGGGGCACATGCCATGGGCCTGTCAGCCCACTGTGCACACACTGGCAGTGATCCTGGTGGGCATTCCCTGGGGAGAACCACTGTGAAACTGTGCTGCATTTGGGAGTTTCTGTTCCTCACCAACAGGAAGGAGAAAACGATCCTTTTTGTCCATTGGAAATCATGTTGTTGATGTTGGAGCTTCCTGGATATTTTAAAACTAAGCTAAACCTCCTATCCTGTATTTTGTAAATGCACTTTAAGTACCTTTTTTTAAAGAAGATTCCTCTGTCCTGGGATGCAGAAGGGAAGGGATATTTATTCCTGAGAAAGACTTTTTTTTGGTCAATGTCTATTAGTCCTTATTGCTAACTAACAAGGTATTTCAAAGCAAAGACTTTTCCTTTTTGCTGCTTGTTACCTAATTTACAGGGATTTAATTTTATGTAATGTATTGTATATTTATACATCTGTAATTAAGTGCACATTAGCTAAGAAAGAGGATTAGCTTCGGTGTAACACCCACTGGTACTATACAATCAACTAACACTGCCTATGCACATGCCTCTGTCTGGTCCTCTGCACAGCCTGAGCTGGTGGCAGTTCATGCTGTGGTGGGTGTTTTGTTGGAGCTGCAGCTGTTCAGCTGCTGCTGGAAGGAGGAAGATGTGCTGCTGCTCAGGAATGGTTTGCTGGGTGTCCCCTCGGACGGGTCTGACGTGTGCGTCGCATCTCCCATCGTAGTTCTAACCCCAGTCTGGTCTGGCTGTACTGTATGTAGCAGGAAT